GCCATTTGTTCCGTTTGATTAAGCCGGGAAATATCTCAGTCGGTCGGCGTGGAACACGCTTAATCTGAGATATCTTTCGACACGTCTTCCGCTATGCGAGAATTGCGCGAAGGGGGGATGACGGAAGGCGTTAATTAGCACCGTTTTTAATGTGACGCAGATTCGGATATTGTCGACGTAGAAGTCGACGGAACTGATCCGACTACTTTGCTCCAAGTAGGAAGCTCTCGGAGACACACGAAATTGCCTGCGGCAATTTAGCGGATCTAAATTGACGGAAGTGTAAAACATTACAATACGATGTCTTCGACGACGAAAGCCTGTCGAACGTTCAATCGGACGACATCTCTCACGCGGGAGGAACGGCAAACGTATCGTCTGCCCGTCGTAATACGATTTTTGCGGTATTTTGTATTTGACGCGCGGTAAATTTGTCGCCTGTCCCTCAAGAATGTTCTCACAGACACGTTCGGAACATTTATCGCGTTAATTTCGCCGGTCGAGGCGGAATTACGGGACTCCCGGGCCGCGGTTTGCACCTCTCTCTCTCTCGCGCGCGCGCTATCAATTTCCATCGATCATCAAACTTCCGCGCTTCTTGCTCGGAACGGACGTCTCGACGTTTCCGACAAGCGCCGTCTCGCGCAGTCCACGCGATCCTATTCGCGCTCCGGTTACGTGGCAATAAACAATCATTCGGCAATCGGCGGCAGAACCTTTCACTCGAGCTCGGCGAGCATGCAAATGCGCGCGACTTAAACGACCTCACGCGTGCGACCCGCGATGATAAGTGCGAACGGGAATGTAAAGCGACGTAAGTCTCTCTCTGAGAATATTTCGTCGTGCTTATTGTGCTCTTTCAGTAGCCCCGGGATAAAATGCAAATAAATTTACTCGCTCGCGTGTATATTGCGCGCCGCGAGTCCTCCCTTTCCGAGCTCGCACGTTACAATGCGCGTCCAAACATAATTAACATAAACGCGGCTGTCGAAATGAAGCGCATTTTTTTGAAGCTTTCAACCTCATCCATACTGCAGAATGAACGATGAGCTTCGAAGTGACAGCAGGTCCGTGCACTGAGAGAAAAGTATATAATATTTGGAACTATAATGATACAGTAACTAAATTATAATCCGAAATATCATATTTATAGTAAGTATTACCGTAATATCGGTAATAATTACGATATATATAGGCATGATATAACCAACCATATAATATTTTTGCTAAGAATTAAGTATTGCTAAGAATTTAGTAAGTTAAACTAAAATTATTGTATGGATATAAATGTAAAGTGGTAGGTAAAGTAACTCTTTTGTAAAGTCAATATTATCAGAATATTTGCTAAATGATGACAGATGTAACTATATGAATATTAAATCTCACTATATTTGGGAATGAGAAATTACCATATATGTGGTAAAAGTAACTAAACAATTACGTATTTAAAACAATCATTGACTATATATTTGTGTTTATTTTACTATATTTTGCAGATTCCACAAACTATAAAAATATGGTTGACGCCGAATTGAACTATAAAATATAGTGAGATTATAGTTAATTCAACTCTCATATTTTTCTATCGGTGTGTGTTCGGAGGCACAAATAAATTAGAGATTAATAGCTCGATAAAACAATATAGAATTATTTTCTAGCACCGTTGTCGAAACCGAATGTGAAAGATGGGTCCAAAAGTTTGTGTTTACGAGAGAATTGCGTCGCGCGATTTTACTCCATTTGCGGCAACTGTTCGGTTTTCGGCGATTTCGCTAAATCCAACCGCAACCGAGCCGCACCGTCGCGAACCGACGGATTAAATTCGATATTTTTGTTAACGACGCGAACTTTTCTTCTCCGATTCGCTGGAAATTACTTTTCCTGTTTTTACATTTTCGCTCGACACTTCCAGTCTAGTAACGCGCGTCTATAGAAAGTGACAGGGACGCGAAGTTGTGGACACAGTGCATATAGTCGCGTCCCGAAACTTTACATACGAATCTCGCACTCGATAAACTCGGCATCAACTTTATCGAACGATCGATCGGGCGAGTGAGCTTGCCGGCGACATGAGTAATTGCATTCTGTGCGGAAGCGGAAAGCAGTGCGGACCGGATACGAATGGAAGATCGTGTTCCGCGATGTATGGGGTATCCCAGACGCCGCGCTACTTTCTCTCGGCCGTAGCGAATATCGAATCGGCATTGTTCGGTTGAATCGTCGTTGCGGTTATCGAAATTTCAGCGGCATCGGGTACGTGGCATTTAATGTACACACAGGTGCACGTTCGCGAAAGCGCCTCAGATACTCCGACGCGTCGCCATTAGCCGTAGATTCCACGGCGTTCGCTGTGTGACAGAGTGTCAAAATCAGAAACTAAAGCGAAGTCGAGTTTAATGCACATTACACAGTCTCCTTTGCGCTTTAGCTGCGAACTCGGAGATTCTCCGACAGTCCTTGATGTTTCGATAACTGCATTCCGCGCGACCGGCGAGTATATTTCCCGCTCATTTAAATGTTCGACTAATGTTACGCAACTTTGGCGTTCGGAAGGGATATGCGTTATTTAGTATGCATGCGCACATACGTCGAGTCACGCCGTTTTTTGACGCGCACTTAAAAGATACGGCATCTATTTTATATGAAACGAACGCTCTCCCCGACGAGCGTTCGTTTCTTGTCGCAGCAGTTTTATTGCGAAATGTTATTAACTTTTTGCTCGGCCGTGCTTCTTTTTCTCCCGATAAAGTCATCCAATAAAATCGCTCTTAAGACCAGTTCCATGAAAATTAAGTTTTACCCGATATCTTGATAAATCTTTCATGCGGAAAGAACGAGTCGGAGAAATTCGAGCTCAGAGTCCGATCGAAGCGTGAAAACCCGCTCGCTCGCTAAACTACAAATCGCGCAGTGTTGCGAGTATTACACACGCTGCGGCGATTCGTAATTCTGAAGCTCGCAAGAGAATTTTGTACTAGTCACGGCCAAATGGATAATAATCTATGCGCGTGAGCCTGCGACGCACTTTACCATCACATTCGATATGCGATTTCCGGCGAGACTGGATGACCTAAATCGGCTGTCATATAACTCGCTTTCGTAGTTCGCATTTGCGGAACAGAAACATAAATTTACTGCTGAGTGCAGGGAAAAAAGAGAAGTAGAGACGGACATAGAGAGAGAGAGAGAGAGAGAGAGAGAGAGAGAGAGAGAGAGAGAGAGAGAGAGAGAGAGAGAGAGAGAGAGAGAGAGAGACCAAGAGAGCGCGCGAGCGAGACGAATGGGATTCCGTAGTTCCGTGGTTCACGGTTTTCGTCGATTCGGCGATATTTTCCCACCGATGGGTGGATACGAAAGTAATTCGCCCATTTGGGAAGAGATACCAGTGTCGGTAAGCCCTCTCGAGCCCGAAGGCATAATCCGCGTTCGTGACGGGATGGACTCTAGAAGCAGAAGCAGCAGGATATCTTCCTTTCTCTCTCTCTCTCTTTCTCTCTCTCTCTCTCTCTCTCTCTTGCGCGCGCCCGCCTCGTGTGCGCAAATTTTATCCGCGAAATAGTTTTCGCGTTACCCGGAAAGTAGGAACGTATAGTAAGAACGATCGCCCAACATAAATATTCCCCGCTCGCTCGCGTCGCACACAACAGCAAGCTGGCGGTGATAATTTAAATTAAATTAAATTAAATTTAAATTAAACGTTAATTAAACGAAGAGAACAGTTATTGCGCGCGAAGTGAGAAGCTTGTATGTGAGAAGCTTTAGACGACTCTAAAGTGATCTCTTAATCGGACGAGAACGGAGTTGATTGAGTTCCATGCCGAAAAATCTCACGTGTTGTCTCATACTCGGTTACTCGGATCGGATTATCGAAATCCCTCGGATCGCCTCGTTGTTATGTATCTTTTTAAGATCGCGCAAGTGCGATCGATTAACTGTTCAGCTGAGCACGTGGAGCTGATGTTGCCGCGTCTATCGGCAACGCGTGTACACTCGAGCCGTTAAATTAGGTTGCTATTCCGTACTGTTCGTGCGGAACTGCATCATGCAAACGATGTTGAAATTAACGCCCACGCGTTACTCTCTCGTTACATATACCCGACTCGTGCACGGCGCGAGACCGCAAGGTATCACCTATCGAACCTAACAATCGATCCGACAGTTCGGCCTATGTCACGCGGATGATCAGTAAATAGCTGCTTGACATTCCGTCACGCGGCGTGTCGAGATTACGAAATAATCCAATAACACGTACGCTCGGTCACTGTCGTGTAAATCTATCATTACATAATTCGTAACGAACACGCGTTACGCCGGAAACGTACAGCAATATATACATCCCGATTCGCGCGTCCCGGCAGATTCCGATGTGTCACCGGTCGGCTTGCAGTTACAGGGTATTTTAATCACTCGAGTAATTTGTGTAATATAAATTTGGATAAAACGAAGTGCAATTTGAGGCGGGAGAGTCGTGCGTACTAATCCGAACGATTCACAAGCGTATTGCCGTTTGGGAAACTTGCGGAGCACCCATTTTGCATACTATCGGTCGCTTTTTCGCGAGAGAAAAAGGGGAAGGGAGAGAGACAGAGAGAGAGAGAGAGAGAGAGAGAGAGAGAGAGAGAGAGAGAGAAAGAGGGAGAGTGACAAAGGATTAATAAACTAAATTCTCGCGTAAATTTTGTCATTATCATGTAAATATCGCAATTTACGTATCGATCATTACGATCAGCGACGTTCCGTCACGCCGCGAAACGATGCAATTACATTTATACACGCATCAGCTTTCTGCATAAATGTTTAAAATATTTCTCGCACATCGCTCTTAACGAGGTGCGAGGAGTTTCGGTCGCTTCTCTTACTCACGAACGAATCATCGTGATCCAATTTATCGCGCGCAGCGCAGCCTTTGGCTCTCATCGGCGTGTATTCTTTACCTTTGTTTAAAACATTTCTCTCATTGTCGCGGTAAAATTGAAGCGGAAACGTTTTCTTCCTTACAGACGGAGCAGTTTACGGTACTGTGGTTACTATTTGCCGTGATAGTCGCCGGTAATACCGCCGTCCTCGCCGGTCTGCTGCTGGGAAAGCGCAGAAAGTCCCGGATGGATTTTTTCATCAAGCAACTAGCGTTTGCGGGTAAGTAGCTGGCATCTAAAGATCTTTCTCTCTCTCTCTCTCTCTCTCTCTCTCTCTCTCTCTCTCTCTCTCTCTCTCTCTCCATCTCGCATCGAGGCGGACAGAGTTTTACCAATTTCTCGACGTGTATTAGCGGTCGGAGATAAGCAACCTGTCGAATACATTGACGGACAGTTACATCGTGAGACTCATATTCGGGCATATCGCCGATATATCGTAAGAATAACCGTCGCTTCCTCCTTGTATCAATCTGCCCCCGAAATCTTCGCCCGCGATACATGTGACATTCAGACCTGAGGGGGAAAACCACGGCACATCCTCTTTCGTGTACGTGTTTTATGGATAAACATTTGTCTTCCTCCTTTCGCTGACGCGTCTTTATGCACGACAGACATCGCAGACACAAACGAGCGCGCGAGAGATACTTCATTTTATCGATCGTTGATTAAATACCAACCATGTCGACTCCTCCTGACGTTTACACAAGTGTCGCGTACATTTTCCTTTTTCTTTTCTTTCTCTCTCCTCCTTTTCAGACGGTGTCGCGCACAAGTCTTGCCCGCGCATTTATGTTTTCATCATAAGAAAAGCGATTGGGCACACGGAATCTCGGCGGTATCTGTTATTCGTAATATCACACCGGGGAATTGATATAACACAAGCCGACTTGGAGAATCAATAACGGAGCTTAATGTTCCGTTATATGTTCACCCGTAAAAAGATATCGAATCTACTGTAGGTGTCCATATTTTCGTATTTGCGCTGGAATACGTGCAACGTGCTGAGATAAAAAAATACCCGGTATTGTTTCTTTACTTATTATTCTTTCGCTTTCAATCGTATCGTTTATGTTCGCCGTGCATATCGTACAAAAGTTTCTTCTTCAAGCGGCATATGGCTTCCACGTGAAAACTATTTAAATACAGCGGAGATTTAATCGGCACAATGAAATATTGGTGAAGCGAGGAGCAAGAAAATAAGACTACGTTGCGCCAGGGACGTCTGATTGAAGAAAATTTTTAATATTTACGATAAAGTGAAAAATCTCCGGTACTCTCATTAGGAAATACTCCCGGCGCTAAGTGAGAGTTAATCTGGCCTAGTAAATCTTTCTCGCGTTACTCGCGTAATAACTCGCGACAGTAAAAGCACGGATGCACTTACCGCGGGGTTAATGTCTGCGCGAGATGGAGGAAGAAAAATGCCTTTTACAGTACAGAGTTAGATATTCCGCGAGTATCGAGGAACGAACAGCACGTGGAAAAAAAGTCCATTTTAAAACTCTCTAAATATTACGAAGGTGTTCGTCGGCCGACGATCGAAGGAACGGTCCTTGAGAATTTCCATCCCTTTCGGAGAATTCGGACGGTTTCAGTACGGTTCGGAGCGCGAGTGTCCGATCAATTATGGAATGACCGCCGATCGTTCGACGGATACGAGAAATAACGACGAAGAACCTCGATGTGTTGATACAACGTCGGGAAGCACGGCATCAGAAATCAAGGTAGAAGGTACATGACGCCGACAGTGAGCCGATTCACTAGAAAACCCGGACATAGACTGAAATTCTTTTTTGGCTATAAAGATTTTGAAAGTGACTCTAATTATCGTTCAAAGGTTTATCTAACTGAATATGAAGTAAAAGGTTGAAACAAAAGTATTTGTTATTGATACGAACATCAAATATGTATAGATGTAATATTTATAGAGAATTGAATCATATGTAAGGTTATCTATTTGAAGTAATGCCATATGTAAACGTTAATATTATTTGCGTTTCTACTGCTTTTGTTCTTAGTTAGAGCTGTTAGAATCAATTATTAAAATTCAAAATTTGTTTTTGTCAAATAAAAAATTTGATATACTTTAAAAGCACCTTTGAAGCACGAGAATTAAAAATTCTCCAAGATGTATAGAAAAAGTTTTAAAAGATTGCAAAAAATTTCTTTTTGGAAAATATACCTGGAACCTTCCCTTAACGTAATAGGTTCATTTATGTTTGCACCTTTTTGCTCCTTTTCGAAAAAAACGAAATTTTATATAAACGAAACTCAATTAGACTTCAATCAGAGATGACAAATGGATAGCAATAGTAGGACATAGGCCTCTAATCGTGATAAGTCCACGCATTCTCTCTCAATTTGCAACTTTTCAATATTTTTACTGTATTTTTATAGTTATTTTAATTGTTTTTGTATTTTTTCATTATTTTATTATTTTTCTTGTAATTTTTATTTATTATTTTTAATTTTTGCTAGTTTTATTGCTATTTTGTATTTTTTATTATTTTTTGTTATTACGTTTTTATTATTATTATTTTGTTATATAATTATTATTAATATATTATATATTTTTTATAAATCGAAATTATGTCCTCAGTCACTATCAATATCGAATTTTATAGGAATATCGTTATCTCTGGAGGATACTAACAAATCAGGGACTTCAGAGGAAAAAAACTTTCTTTCCTGAAGTCACTGATTTGTTAATATCCTCCAGAGATGGCGATATTCCCATAGAATTCGATATTGATAGTGACTTAGAGAATAATTTTGATTTATAAAAATATATAATATATTAATAATAATTATATAACGAAATAATAATAATAATAATAATAACAACAACATAACAACAAAAAAAAATAAAAAATACCAAAAAGAACAATAAAACTAGCAAAAATTATAAAAAAATAATAAATAAAAATTGCAAAAAGATAATAAAATAATGATGTAAAAAAATTGTAACCCTAAGGGGAATCAATAAATTAGTATATATATATATATATATAATAAAATAATGAAAAAATACAAAAACAATTAAAATAACAATAAAAATATAATACAAATATTGAAAAGTTGCAAATTGAGAAAGAATGCGCGGACTTATTACATTTAGAGGCCTATGTCCGGGTTTTGCTATACTTCGACCCATTGTGCGACGTCGAGTGTAGAAAATGAACATTCGCAATCAGACGGGACGTAAGAATATCTATTGAGACGTTTTCGATAGTGATTGTTGCCGCACAAAGTCGTACTTCGCGATACAATCGTTCGAATGAAGCAAGCAGCTTATAAATAACGACATTGCACATCCAACGGCAACGTCGCGATAAGAATGTGAGAGAGAAATTATTTGCTCTCCGAGATATATTCTTCCCCCGCATGCTCTTCGAAAAGATATTTCTTTCTATTGAAACGTAACAATGCACGTGGATGTTTGCCGTGTCACTTTAGAAAATTTCTCTTCACTCCAAAAAATGTCTCTTTACAACGCTGTCTCCTCATCGTGGTGTAGTGAGTTGTATTAAATCCACGTGTTCTATATACACGTGCACGGGGAGTAATATGTGTGTAAGAAGCATATTATTTCCGTTACCGTAATAACAATGTTACCAATGTACTCCGAATTATACGCCTACTTTAGATTGCATTTTTAGGACGCCAGAGAAATCTAACCCTTTCGCTTGGAATTTAACGATACGCGACTTTCATAAGTTTGGATATTTTCGTCCGTTAAGAAAACAATCTCAATGCGACATTTCATCGTACATCATCATCATTGTATGCATATTGTAGAGTAATAGAACGTATGTAGAAAGCGGAGTTCATATTAATAATGCGAAAGCTATTTCCGTAATCCTGCAATCCCTGTTTTAAGTTCTGCAGCGTGCTTTCTGCAAAATTCAAGTCTATTCTCTTTCTTTTCTCCTTCTGTCTCTCTCTATTCAGTGATATTTCTTCTTGGAGAACTTCAGTTCCTTGCTTTTACTTTTTCATCCTCATGTTTCACATGCTACAAAATCTGCTCTTCTTCAGATTATTCGCGAGCTTTAGCTGTCTCTGCCGGAAACTAAGTCCGTTTATATGCTGTAATAATCCTAAACTAAACGGCAGACACCATATCCAAAATAGCGCTTAAAACACACTGGAATAAAGAATAGTGGTTGCAGGATAAAAATCTTCAATTTAGAGTGTGTGCTTTCGAACGAACGAAAATGTGTAAATTCGTAAAACTCGCGCATCGTAGAGTAAAGAGACCAAACTTCCGACATCCTAAAAATAATAATGTCAGCGATCTAGTACAGTCTGTAAAGTAAGAGCGTGCACGACATAAATGGCAGTTGGCTTCAAATATCGTCCTAGTTTTTTTGTGAGCCGATAGATGAAATCTTTGTCGTGAATGCTTTGTCACAAAAGATTCAGTTGGCGTCGAACTCTAACCTGAGAAACACGTTAACCGCCATGAGTGCCGCATACGCATCGCGCTACGAGGCTGTGTTCCTTTGTTCCCACCCCAAAGGATCACAAATGTCATATGCAGTGACTGCTAAGTACATGGGAAAGTCAAAATCGTTCGTCGCTAAGTGGGTTCAGCAATATAAGAAGATCAAAAACGTCGATGACTTGCCAGAACGTGGCTCGATAGGCAAAGTGACGCCGAATATGGAAAGAAAAATTGTGAATTTGTTTAAGCGGAACCCGACCTTAATGCTTAAAATTTATGACAAGTGTTTGTTGCCGACTGCTGAACGATGCTTCATAAAAAAAAAAACGAGGACTGGATCTTATAGGAAGACAACGACCCAAAACACCGAAGTAAGCTTTGCACCGAGTGGAAAGAGCAGTTTGGCATCGTCACACTTGATTGGCCATCGCAGTCGCCAGATGCAAATCCTATTGAAAATGTGTTGGCATATCTCAAGCACAAGCTTCGAGGAAAAAGAGTGTGCACTTTGAAGCAGCTGATACGACAAATTCGTCTCATTTGGAGGTCTTTACCGAACGAATACGCAGTCAACTTAGTGGAAAATATGCCTCGGAGATGCCAGGCAATTATCAATGCCGGTGGTGACTGGACTCATTATTAATGGTACAGCATTTTCCTTCTCATGGAGTACAACAAATCCATGTACTTAAAAATCATTAAAAATGAATTTTTCTACACATTAACCCGTGCACGCTCTTACTTTACAGACTGTATGTGTATGACACGCTATGCACAAATAGATTTATCATGCACACCTCGGTATTGTAATAATGGCAGTGAATTGATTTCTAGTTTATAGAGATGTGCGAATCAAGAATTTTTATGTCAAATAAAATCGAATCAAATCTCACTTTTTAAATTCGAATTCGAATCGAATCGAATCTATGAAATTTCATTCGAATTCGAATTGAATCGAATCATTAAAAAATTTAACATGACTATTAAACATGCAAATAATTATGGAAGATTTTAATATGAAAGGGAATATTGATATTGTAATATCATCTTAAGGTAAAATATATATTTAAATATTTAAAGTAATTTATAATTAAGTTATCAATTATAAGTTAAGTTAATTACAAGTCAAGCGTTCAAACACACAGGCCCAGATGGCCCGTTTTACAGCTGATGCGCTCAAACGCTAATGTATTTAATTCATATTCGAATCTTCGCGATTCGAAATTTTCGAATTATTCGGATTCGAATTCGAATAGTTCGCACATCTCTACTAGTTTAATTAACGCACGGTGCATGTTCCTATTATATTCGACGCAATTATTCTCCACCTTGCTCCTTTCGTCCGACATTAATATTGCGACCGGTGTTATCGAGTCACGAGAGGGTGCGGAATCGAATTTCTATTTCGTCGATAAAATACGAGCGATAAAAGTGGGGGGACAAACTTGTTTTATTCGGTGAAGCAGCGCGGGGATGAGGCCGCGCCGTCTCTTTTCCGATCACGTTTTGAGGATCGAGTCGATATCGCGTTGGTTAGCGCCCGGCACAATATAAAATGTCCACGAGATGAAGAAAGAAGAAGCGATATCGCCTTCTTTCTCCTTTACGACGAAAGTTAGGGACACCGTTTAAGCGTGAGAGATGTGCTTTTATGACAAACACCGTTTATAAATCCACCTAAATTTCACCAATCCACCGCAAAACAAATACGAAATACTGATATTTGAATAAAAATAAATGTAAACAGAAATCATATACGCGTTTGTTTAATATATTACTCTTTCTCTCTCTCTCTCTCTCTCTCTCTCTCTCTCTCTCTCTCTCTCTCTCTCTCTCTCTCTCTCTCTCTCTCTCTCTCTCTCTCTGTCTCTGTCTCTCAAAAATCAATGAGCATTTTGCATCAGTTTTGTTTACATTTTTCGAAAGAAATATAATCTCTCTGTTTCCTGCACACTTTTTTGTAATCTCTCCCCGTTATAAATCATGGTAAAACGTGCATGTCATTACGCACCTCTGCGAGAAAATTAACGCCGGCCTAGAAACGGCTCTTGATTATTACAGCATTCATCATGACCAACAAACAGAAACGTCGAAATTATCGACACATTATCCCGTTCGCAGTATTTTGCACCGTTACCGAAAAGTTTTAAGTGGCTACATCACGCGAGTACACAGAGCGAAGCGAAATAACGTAATCGCGGCCGAGCTAGAAGCCGATCGTTGCGCACTCGGAGTCTCGTCCGACAGTCGAGACAGATTTAATTTTATGCCCGGCGTTAATTAGCAGTCGACCGGCGTCTCTGTAATCGCGGAAATTACGCGCACTCTCTCTCGCTCGCTCGGGATATCATAAAATCCTCATTTCGCGCGTACAACACTCGCATTTCTCGCCGACCGGCGATGGAAAAATCGCGGCGTAAGCCGAAAAATCTCGATTCATCGAGCGAGTCGAGCGGTCTCGGTTGCGCGATTCTGAAAACGGATCGCAAAACGAGAGGAGCGGGTATACGACCGCTTCTTCCGTATAATGCGAGCGCGCGGCATTAATGCGGATATAATTGGGGTATTACTACGGATCTGCGGCTCGGCATTAACCGTGATTTCGGTTAGACCAGGACACCGGAAAATGGCACCGGAATGGCTAATGTCCAGCGGTATTAACAGGCACCGATAATTAGTCGAGCTCATTGGCGGCGATCGCCGCCCGCCTCACACAATTCGCGTATCTTGTTTCAGATTTACTGGTCGGCCTGATATCCGTACTGACGGACATAGTCTGGAGAACGACGGTCACCTGGCACGCGGGCAACGTGGCCTGCAAGCTGATAAGATTCATGCAGGCCGTGGTGACATACAGCTCGACCTACGTCCTCGTGGCGTTGTCAATCGACAGATACGACGCTATTACGCGTCCGATGAACTTCTCCGGCAGCTGTGAGTACATTAGCGCACGTGATCTCGCTCTTTAGTGTTGCGAATCCCCTCAAAGAGGAACGGCCCGAGCCGAGCTAAACTCATTAATTCAACTGAAGTTCCGTGGAATATACATATAACGCGCTTCGAGGCGTGAATGACGTCTGATCTCAAAGCCAAAGGGTGCCTTCTCTTTCCTCCTCTCCTTCTCTCCTCCCTCCCTCTCTCCTCCCTCCCTCCCTCTCTCTCTCTCTCTCTCTCTCATCTTTCTTTTATCGTGCCTTGTTCTGCATAATTCTTTAATTATAATAAGTAGAGGAGAATACTTTGAAAGCTTAATGGTGAATTAAGCGCTGCAGAGAGTTGCACGAGCTCCGCGAAAAGCGTAGAGAAAATTTCTCTCCGCAAAAAGTAAGCTTCGTCCTAAAAGCCTACGCGAACCGGGTGAAATGGCGGCGAAAGGTAGATAATGTTGTGTTTCCTTGCAGAGTTTGAGATCGAGCGGTGGAATACTCCATTATTCAATTGTCCGGTATATACTTATATGTTTGCGCATATCTCTCGTCCGCGATGAGTTATCATCGCAAAGGAGGAAACTAAGTAGTGAAGGACGAATTTCTGGCACCGTCAGGAATTTGGCTGCAAAAGTACCTTTGCATTCATAGCGTAACGCGTCTCGCATTCGCATGATGTGACGCAATGCGACGCGTGAGTTGCATAAGAAAGCAATTGCGCGTCTCTCTCTCTCTCTCTCTCTCTCTCTCTCGCTGTTTTAATGAGCGGGCATTCTCATCGGCAGGTGCTTTTTTTATCAGTCTCTACTTTTACGACTCGACAAGATAAAGGATCGAGTCGTAGTGTCGCAGGGGGTTCCTTTATCTTTCCGCTCGAGATAGCCGTATCGTTTATCACACGAAGGCATCTCACGAAGGCTGCCGGATCGTTGCGGTGCGTGCACCGCAGCGGAATAAAATTTATCTTCCGTGTTTCGTTCGTTGTTTTCCGACCGGAGAATTGCAGAAATTGGTAAATGCGCTGCTCCGAGCCGCGCGAGCCGTCGCTCGATGCCTCGGTCGCCGATGGATTAATACGAGAGAATTACTCTTGCCCTCAGACCAACCGTCGATGTCACAGACCGTTACGGATTAACCGTTTGCGATCGTAACTCGAACTATATCTCAGTGAACTAAAGCTCGTACCGAAAATACGTTGCGACCGCAAGAAGAGTGAAAACCGAGTTTTCGTCCGTCGAGGAAAAGCACCGTCGTGCTGAATCTCGAAGCGCCCTTAAAATACACGCACGGCGGGCTGATCCGGGCGCAGCTTTTAAATGAATTTACGGCTCCGATTGCGTCTGGAGGCAAGTGGTATTTAATTAATTCTATCGACGGCCATTTCTCACTCGACGTTATTGAATAGAAATGAAAGTGTCTCGCTCGCTCGCTCTCTCTCTCTCTCTCTCTCTCTCTCTCTCTCTCTCTCTCTCTCTCTCTCTCTCTTTCTCTCTCTCTCTCTCTCTCTCTCTCTCTCTCTCTCTCTCGGAGATACGAGTGGGCTTTATTGAATCGCGAGGCTCTTAAAGTATTAAGCCGACCGCTCTGCAACGTACAACCGTCGTATGAATTCTCACGAATTATCCTTCGGCTACCGGCTGATCACAATTATCAATCGCGTACGTCGTAATTACGACGGCGAAATTAATGGGAGCACGTCGACTGTCACGTGGGGTAACATCTTTCTATGTCGGTCCGACGACGTCACGATATTATCGACGGCCCGACTAAATTGCACATCGCCGAAAAATAAATGATGCGCACGAGGATAACGACAACATGTCGAAATATCGAGTCATGGCGTGTACATCATTCTTCGTGTTGCTTTATGTAAGAACGGGTGAACCGGTACGCGGTTTAATCGTGTCGTGTCGAAGGACACGTCGGCTTATATCCCACCGGCTGCTACGTGCTCTTTGTGTTACTATATCAGCTCGTAGACGCGCCTGTCTTTACGAATTTTCAAGCGGGCCACGCGCAAAAAATTTCCCCGCGACGGAGCGTCTTCTATCGTTATTCGTTTTTCGCTCATGCCCCACCGAGCCGCCAGCTGTCGTATGAAACTCAACGTTTACGAAAATGGTCAAACTTCCTTCATACTCCGCGGTATGCAAAGTTCGAGGTCTATCCATCAGCGGGGAACTCTCGTTTAAGTCAACAATCGAGACCCGGCCGAAAGTTCCGCGTCGAATTTCCGCGCCGTTTGTTACGCACGATTTTTTTCCGTCGCTTCACTGATGGCTTCATTCTCACCGTAGGGTGGAGAGCACGAGCCCTGGTGGCTGCTGCTTGGGGTCTGTCGGTATTATTCAGCATGCCGATTATATTTCTATACGAGGAGAAACGGATACAGGTACAGACACATTCTCCCTTTATGAGAAAGAAGAGGACCTGCTTTAAATTGCTAAAGAAAACGCGAATTTCCAAAGCCTCTATTTTCGGTAGATCCCGTCGAAAAAATACATCGCGTATAAATATATTGCGTCGCTTTGGATATTAAGTAACTTTCGACAAAAGAAATGACGAATTACTTGGTCTGTTCCTTTTAGTTGCACTACTGAACTGGTGCGATAAGTTAAAGTGAGAAAAAATTTAGTTGTCTCATTCTAACTTATTGCACTAGTTCCGCAGTGCAGCTAAAAAGGACAGACTATTTGTTTCTGCCCGAAACAATCGCGGAGATAAATCGATAAGCTGACAATTCGTTCTAAACGCAAATGACGAACATATTAGCGATGAGCAAATATCGATCGATGAAACAAGCATCGATTCTTATTTCCTTGAAAAATCGATTATCAGACCGATATTTTTGGGGCCGATTATTCCCTAGATCGATTATTTTTTTCGTCGATTATATTACTAGATTATATTACTAAATTGTTACTAAATTTTTATCACTAGGGAATTTGTTTACTACTATTAAGGCCCATCTACAATAGCTGCAAAAATAAAGCTGTAACAGTAAACAGTAAAAAAAATAAACTAACAACAACAGTCGACTATTATAAGAACAACCGACTTTAATTGGTTTATTTCTTGTAGCTTACGCTCATAGCCTTATTCTTATATAAGCTTATGCTTGCAGCCATTGTAAAAGGGTCTTTAAGGTTTTAATAATATATTAATTTGTTGTTGCAACATATAACTCTTCACATTAATTTAAAATAAACTAGGAAAACATCGATTATTTATCGATATTTTTAAGAAAATATCGATCATGCAAAAACGATTTTTTTGATTAATCGATTAAATCGAAGACGATGCATTTTTTTGACGAAGCCCATCCTTAGAACATATCAAACGTAGCGTATCAAACGAACTCCTGAAAAACGCAGGACTAATAGAATGGAGTCGACGATATCGCGCGCGGTCGTTACGTGATAGCGCCGAACGGCGGTATTGAAATTTGAAAGTGAAGAAGATGTTGAAGCGCCTTGAAAAATCGACTTGAGAAGATCCAAAGAGCAAAGAGCTTAATCACTGTGTTTGTTTTGCAGGGCATGACGCAGTGCTGGATCGACCTGGGCTCACCGACCCAATGGAGGGTTTACATGAGCTTGGTGAGCTTCAGCCTTTTTATAGCACCGACTTTGATAATAGGAGGGTGCTACACGGTCATCGTGGCGACGATATGGTCGCAAGGAGGAGCGCTACGTCAGGGACCTACCAGGGACACTCGGAGGGCGTCCTCGAGGGGTCTTATTCCCAGGGCGAAAATCAAAACAGTGAAGATGACTTTCGTCATAGTGTTCGGTAAGCCCGATCGAGCGTAGGTCCTCCTGTCTCGTCGGAGTTTATTTATTTCGCGTGTAAACCAACTCGTCCGCGAAAGTCCGCGTTAGCTCCGCCCGGATCAAAGCGCGCGGCGGAAAAGCGCCGTAGATTTCATTTTTCCCTCTTTTTGCTCTCTCTCTTTTGTTGAATTCTATCGCTCCATCGAGCGATTCACTTTTGAAAGGGGCCAGATGTTTTTTAGAGAATCCACCTGTTCTGGGATTTACATAAGCTGCTTTGGCTTTGTGAAGTTATATCTCAACGTCTGGTGCGTGATTTCACCATTGGCTTTCATCTCTCCGTCGATTCGTGCAGATAGGAAGGAAAACCCTCAGCTCTCGAGGAACTGCACGGCGTGTTCCACCCCTCCCCCTCTCTCCACAAAAATCGAATGCTTTTTCGTGCTGTTGACGTACAAATGAGTACTTTGCTAAATTCATCGTGGACGACAATAACGGAGACGGCCGCGCGACGCTCTTGAAAACGTCCGTAGCGTGTCTGCTTCGCGATAGTAAAATGTAATAAGCTCTTATCTAACTACTCTTATGTCTCTCATATGAGATCGGTGAACCGTTTTATTTGCGCGGCCTAGAGGACGCGCCACAAGAAGATAAGCTGGTATACTCGCTATTCGATATCCTCATACGAGTACGAGAAGCGCGCAAGAGACGAGAGGGATTGTGTATACAGTGTGTTCGAGAAGAACGCTGCGCCGAGACGAATATATAATAATTCCTAGATTACGAACGACGAACAAATGGGGTCTACTCGATGATTTTATAACGATCGGACTGTTCTCGATTCAATCAGTTCGAGTCGATCAAATGATAGAAATTCCCCGTATAAGAAGGGCACTAGTGCTAAAGAAATATATATCTCCAGAGAGAATCTTCTTTCTTCGGACTTTTCACATAGCGGTAAGTAGTATTTTAGTAAACCGCGGTACAAGAAAAATTTAAGTGCATTTCTGTCTCCAGTTTTAGTTTTTTTTTTTTTTTTGCGAAATTTCGAAAAGCACAAGCAATTGCTTCGATTACTCGGTCTCATTATTTCCCGCACGTCGATAGTCACGGTGTAGAACTTCCAGGAGCCCTTTTCGTGTAAGCAGCGTGCCCGTCCCTTCGTCTTACGAGGGGCTGATCTTACGTGAGCAAGGAATCACCAAAGCTAATCAGATTCGTTCCCGACAATTGGAAACAGTGGCGAAATTCCTTCTCTTTTAGCTGACGGCGACCGTCCCGGCGCGGGCGACTCGATGGACTCGGGACCGGTCGAATCCTCCCGGCATTTTCCGAAACTAGGGGGTATGTAAAATCTCCGAAAGCCGGGAAGCTTGAAACGAGGAAAGTTACGCATGCGGCATAAATTTCGCGCGTAACGCGAGTACCGTGGCTACAACGACAGCCACGTTCTTGTTTCGTGATTCGAAATTACCATAATGTATCGCGGATTACAATCGCGCTCGTCGCGAATTCGCGTTTCGAAGTCAAAAGACAACGCATTTTTACACATCCAGGAATCTTCTCCCGGCTATTCGTTCTGTGAAACTCGCGCGTTATTAAAGTACTTTTTCGTTACTGGCAGACAAACGTCAATTGGCAGCAAGAAGCGTACGTTTATGTGGCCTCGTAGATACGAACTTTTCAAGATTACACAATCTCGTGGGAAGAAAATTATGAAGAAAAATCAAAGAATCGAAGATTCAACTTTAATAATGTTAAAACCCGAGAAAATGTCGCTCTCCCTTTATTGACAGAACCGATCAAGTGGAAAATCATCTCTGATTAAAACTTCACATTTAACATGAGAAGACTGTTTTTCTCTTAAATTGTTTTTATTTTTAAGCTTACGAGTTTCGCCGAGCATAACATTTTCGTACACCGAAGCGAACTTTTTTCTAACGATTTCTCATCGCGATACCGAAATCGCTGATACCGAAATGTGCAACGAACTTACTAATATCCTGTGCTTGTTTCGCCAAAAGATACTCAGAGATAACAGAGACACGTGGTTCATCCATCATTTACGAAGAAGACAATGCAGTCATTGGTTCCGATCGTTCGAAATGTTCGTACATTTCGATTGGCCGTTAGAACACAGGTAGCTCATCGCGAAACCAACCAACCGGGCGGTTCATGTTTAATCGATCGCGTTTTTCAATTATGAATTCATCGGCCGCAGCGTGAGACACACTACTCAATTTCCAATTCAATAATCCGTAACGATATCGTCGAATAACACAGGTGGTCGCAGTAAGAATTTTCCATGGCGAATCGCACGGATGAGCGCGTATCGGATTATTACTAAAGTCACTGGCGCGCGACGATTTTATCGATAAATTTAACACCGGTAAAAAGAAACACCGGGAATTTCGCTGTTAACAATGCGTTATTAATGCTCCACAACAAATTGCCTCGCGCTCGCGGGGAAAATGCAAAATATTAAAACTGGAATATTGTAAACGTTTTAAATTGGCGCGCGTGCGCGCTGGGAATAATCGATTTTCCCAGCATCGTGTAATTTCCTTCGCTTTAAGAAATCTAACACGCTGACGCATGCGAGAGTTCCTACGACCGAGCTTGCGAGAGCATTATCGTAAGAGAGAGAGCCGAATTTCCGCGTCTTTCATCCCGCACATGGAAAGTTTCTCTCAACGAGTCTTTTCATATCACTGCACCACCATCGGCCCGATCGTTACTTTTTCCAAATCAGTAAAAATATCCCTCGTCATTTAATCGGCGCAGGTGCGACGACTTTCTCGAAATTACGCGCACCGGATGGATTTCGTGATTCTCCCCGGCGTCGTTCTATTTACAGATCGCTAATGCATTTACAGGGATGCCGTTGGGGAAATGGAGGAGAGATCGTTGAGAATGTTAAACGAGAAACAGATTAGCCGCGAGAGCAGTTTGAGAGATCCCGCTTTAATTAAGGAAGAGGAGAAGGGGGGAGGGAGAGAAAGAAAGTTATCTCACAGCCGCGACAGATGCTGGGCGATTTTCGCGCTTAACCGTTCCCTGCCCGCAGCTTTTTCTATTATCGGCGTGCTGCCGTCGTTCGGGTGGTAGTTTTCGATTTCTTTTTTGTCGTGGATATGTTGAAAGATGAAGGGAAAAGGCTATACATCCCGCCTCGCACGATAGTCATCGGTATGCAACCGGTATACGACCTAAATTTCCATGACAGATTTCGCGATGAATTTCCAGTCTATTTTTCCTCGGCGAATGTATCGAAGTATCGGTAGTTTCCGCGTTATGAACGACCGAGGAAGGAAGTTTCCTCGGGAAAGCGACTTTAGCAAGACGGATAAATCATATTCAAACGCGGCACATGTTGCGCTCGACAATTTGTTTTGAGATTCATTATGGAGCGATTATTCCGCGTGCAAATGCGTTAGACTCGACGAAATGTCACTCGAAATGTCAGCCGATGTTCGAGAAAGAGAAAGAGAGAAAGAGAGAGAGAGAGAGAGAGAGAGAGAGAGAAAAGGTCGGGAATAAACTTTTATAGTCACGGATTTGCAGACGGCGCAGCACCGTACTGATCATTTTGTATCGATCTGCTTGCTGTAGCGGCAAGATGCACGAACCTGGTAACCTTTTTTTCTTGCATTTAGAAAACGTCTTCGTGCGGTTTTTGATAGCTATGTTTCTCGCGAACGAGCTTCGGATTTCCGAAAAAAGTAATATACTTATGTCGTCTCGGGCAAGAAAGAAGCTTCGGAAAAATGCTAAATTAATTTTCTTTCGTAAAAATGTCAACATGCGGAAATACGAGATTGCAAGAAAATGCAAAGGTTTTTGAAAATAAATAATCTCAGGAATATAATAAGCGACAGAGTAACGAATGTTGAAACGAAGTACACGAGCATTCCATTTCGAAACCAAAACTATTGCACTTTTATTGTTGGATTCATGGAAGTGTATCGAGCAACGCGAACTTTCAGTCGCGTAATAACTTCCTTATTCTCGAGACACCAGACTATCAATGCTGCACTGTCGCAGAAGAATATAAAGAGAAAAAAACTACAGCGTTACCATGCGAGCTAGCATCGTCCGTAGAACGATAGTAAATAAATTGTTCCTGACAGACACACACACGACGGAGATGTTTTCGACTTCCCGAGTTCTCGCCAATAACTTTCGTTAAATCCACGCGACAGCTTTGAGACAGGAGCAAAATGAACAACAAAGTGAAGCGAACTAGAAACGCGAATTTTTACGTGAATGCATTCGACGCTACGTTGAGGTGGAAAAGTTTGCGGAACTATCAAGCGTGTCAGACGAATGTGCTTATCAATGTTCTTGTAATTAGAATTAAAATTGTTCACACTGATATTACGCACGTCTCAACTATACGTGTTACGTTTCACCGTGCAGATTTATGTCGAGAAAAACAATTCTTTCTAATCTTTGACGTCCACCCATCATTTCGAGATCTTATTGTCCTTAGCAAAAGGTAAGAAAAGAATCGACGACTCCGCGCTATCTCTAAAATGGAAGCTGTTACATAAATCAACGAGATGCGAAGAGACAAATGGAGCGTTTCGCTATTTTAGATTCGTTACGTTACATTATCTGGAATGGAACTGGTGCAAACTCGGAGCTCGCTCTGTCAGGACTTTCGAAACGTTCTCAATTTAAGATAGCAACGATAACTCTTAATTGAAGTCAACAGAATAATCGCGTTCTATCCGCGACGAATTTACTGAGAATAACGCTACGATTATCACTTCATCCTGTCAAATCGATTTATTACATAGAACGACATAATTCATTTCGCTCATGATTATCGTTTTACTCATATTTGCGCGAATTTAATTGCTATTAAATTTTACCTTTTATTATATGATACGTAGAAATAAAAAATAAAGTGACATACAGGATAAATCACTTTACAAAGCGGAGCAGCTTATTTTCTCTCGATCAATCATTTTTTAACATCTATTGTATGATTTTGAATTGCACAATTTATACTAATATTATTATTAATATAATATTAATCAATAATATAATATTAATCAATAGACATTATTAATATTCGACATACTTTACAGTTTTATTATGACCTTTTGAAAATCGTTTAGAAATTATAAATGTCATCCCATTATAAAATCAGTACAATAATTCGATTTATTTGTAAAAGTAAGTGATGATAATTTTCACTTGCTCTCTGGTGTTCATTTTCATATTTTTTCGTAATTTAATATTTTGTGATCGCTTGAGAAGTATGGTCACAAAAATTGCTTCATATATTTTAATGCTAACCCAAATCGAAATTTTAGTTCTGCAATCTTACGAGCTCGATCAAACTTGAACGAGCAATATGTAGAATTTTTAGGCAATATAATTAGAATAGAACAAAGCTTTCTATTCAAGAACGCATGCATATTTTTACGGGTCTTACAATTACCTTTGCACCGTAAGCGAGATCACAGAGATTAATTGCAGATTTACTCACGACGATGTTTCAGTGTTCATCCTTTGCTGGAGTCCGTACATAGTCTTCGATCTCCTTCAGGTTTATGGACACGTGCCGAAAACGCAGACAAATATCGCGGTTGCCACCTTCATACAGAGTTTGACACCGCTCAATTCGGCCGCTAATCCGATTATCTATTGCCTCTTCAGCACGTCGTTCTGTAAAACCGTACGGTGAGTACGCTTATTAAACTTTAATTGCCATCTGATTGCTTCATGTGCTGCATTTGCTCTGCTGTTTTCTTCAGCTCGATTTATTATTTACATGTATTTATGAGATGCTTCCGTTGAAATTTTTCACTTGTGAACATGCATCTTTATATCGCGACACGCGCAAGAAAGAAACGAATATGTATTTCAATTAAAATCGTATTAACGCATTATAAATATTCGCAAACAATCGAGCGCAAAAACATTGTACGTACGCGCGGGAAATGAACCGAAAGTTAATACTACAACATCGATATAGCGTGCGATTTAATTTTATACAAGAGATGTACGAAACGTTTAAGGGGAATCTCTTAATTTAAGTCTAACGTTAAGATTTCAACAATAAAATGTTGATAAATCATTTAACGATTGATAAAACATATAACGAAGAGTTTAAAAACTCTCCGAATAACTGTAGAATCTGGGAGATGTTTTTCTCATGCTTCCTATCGCACGTTCAGAATGACGAGCTACGATTAATCATAAAGACAGTAATATTCTCGGGATGGAGAAGGGACGGTAATAAATCCTCGTCATGGGATTTCTCCGTTAAACAACAACTGTTGCTCGGTAGGAACATGCAGGCGATCTCCTGGATTTCGGGATGGTGCTCTGCGAATCCGCACCACTGCTTCGGTACCGGAACCACGGGTAACAGCACGAGGACGACCGTGACGACTTCTCTGACAGCTCATTCTTCCCGCAGGAGCGGCCACTTCACGATGTTACATACTACGTCGCGGAAACGCGTCATGGTTTCTCTAGTCTAGAGGCCGTGCTCTCCGGAAAATGGAGCGAGGAAATAAACGTAGACTTTCTTGCAGATCTGTATCCTGAAGATCGAGTTGAGACCGATAATTCTTATCCAATGGTCTTGAGTTTATGTTTCTCTCTCTCCCTCTCTCTCTCTCTCTCTCTCTCTCTCTCTCTCTCTCTCTCTCTCTCTCTCTGTTTCGCTCGAATACTTGCAATCTTTCGTGTCTATACTCGAAGTACAATGACCATGACGTAGATACGATCTCATAATGCGAAGTTTCTTATAACTTTATTCGGTAGTTCCTTATAGCGAGAATATCCACGAAAATAAATAAAACAGGTTGAAGGCATATAATTATATGACACTGTCGTCTAATTAATTAGAAGCGTTGTCAGTGGTCAATGTTTCAACACTTTCCTATATTGATACGAATTAGTATGATTTTTTTAACTTCATCGCGACGTTATCCACAATGGATTTCGTACGACTTCCTCACACCGTCCAAGACAATGTACTGTTATCGCTAGGTCCTTTCTTACTATATTATAAGTTAATTAATGAGCTACTGTACAGCGCACACTATCCTATTCGTCGTCGTCGTCGTAAGCTCATCTTCGTGCAACGATCTCGGTACCATATACGAACTGCTCGAAAGATATTTTCTCACCACGAAACAATGACATGAGGAATGCTGATGATTTTATATACCAGCGAGAGAGACAAGAAGCAAGCTGATCGTCATTGTTTCGTTGGTATTGCCATTTAATACCCTAAAACTTTTGTACATAGCGCGCGCACCACTCATCTTTCTTTACTACTCCTTTTCCACTTGGACATATATGTGTGTCTGTATCTGAGAAGCGAAAGGGTACGAATTGAAAATATTATTTTTTTCCGAAAAAATCTGTTATAATCTAAAACATTTTAAATATATAATTTCGAAGTAGATTAAAAGTGTAATAAAACTTACGAAGTTATTGTGTTAGTGATTATTTTTGCATTTATTTGCTTGCTTGAAACAACCAAATCTGAGGAGGAATTTAAATTTTCCTTCATCTCAATATAAATATATCAATGCGAGTTTTCAAGCAGTTATTCCCTTTTACTGCTCAGATATAGAAATTAGACGTAAGAGGACTGCGTATGTTAAACAAGACAGTCACAAGATTGTAGTTAATCTGAAATGATTGTGTGCGCACTGATATTATCAGTATTAAAAGGGTAATTTGAAATACGATGATAATATATATGTCTTCTGTTATGTTTCGCGCGATATTTATTAGTCGGTATTTTGGGCTCGATCGATCGTTAAAGATACCTTTTATCCACGATTTTCATCCTCAATCTCTACATTACTTGCCGGGGTATTTTTATATACAGGGTATCTTAGAATCTTTCAGCATTACGGAATAGCAGCTTGCGCGGATGCGTCGTTAGCTCACTTGATGTTCATTGAATTCTTGCATAAGTAAGCTGTCGAATATGATAATTTTGGATCGCGTGTTGTGCACGCGACTTTCTTCCGATAGTAACGCATCCCTTGCATGTGCGTCGCACAATCAACTTGTTTCTTCGTAAAATATTTTTCGTGTATCTGCCTAAGTAACCGGGACAAGAGGTATCCAACTACAGCTATCGAACAGCCTATGTGGAAAATAATACGCTCAACAGATTCATATACGTATGCGTACCAGTGCATAATAACAAAGAGACAAAATAAAAAATCTCTGCCGCGAGTGTACATACAACCGTAATAATACGTGCGTTAACGATCATGTAACATATTAATGAGTAATATATTCCACTCGTGCACTCTCGCGAGTGATGTGACTGTCAAACGTCGCGATGCTCTATATGCCCTGTGTTACCTGTCTGCGTTGTGATTTACACGGCGGATTTGATCGATCTCCCGATAACGTCATCGGATCTCGTCTAGTAAATAGCGCAAGATAAGAAAATATTTGTATAAGTAACATATTTATGATATGATGAACGTGTAAATAAGCGAGAACGAGATGAAGAGAAGGAAAAGAGGACTACGCGAGTGTCCGGATACGTAAGAACATCGTCCCTCCTCAAATTATATTCCTGCTAGTCGATCCGTCGTAAAGGGTCGCGTATGTACGAGTGTAATATGCCTGTTCGATCGTCAGTGTCTTAATAATGCATTCAGGGTGAATTAAGAAAAAAAAAAAAAAACATTTCGACGAAACCGAGGAACATGTGGCGCAGTCCGCGAGTGTCAGAATCACTGTGGACGATTTCGCGACTGAACCGAAGGGACCGCAGTTTGTTCGCACTGTAAAGTTGACGAGTGTAATTTTATACGCGTTCATGTTTATCCGATAATTTAGATAATCACGAGAGCGTTATCTCGTTCGGTTCCTTTTTTTTATCAAGATGTATGCGGTAAACATTTGCCTAGCAAACAATTTACTTTTGCATTTCCCACGGAGATTGTGATCTTCTCGACGAAACGGCGCTCACCGCACCTTCTTGTCGCGTCTACAAGGCTTTTTATTTACACGCGCGATAATACATGTCGCGTAAGACTTATCGCGCAAGCGTTTGTTGTACATACATCTCGCTTTGTTTTATCGTTGATTTGCAAACGATAGGTTTCCTTGGTCATTCGTCATACTTGACAACAAAGACTTTCGTATTGACGCGCAAATGATACGTACAATAAGTACAACGAGGTATATGTAATTTCAAGGCGTGCAGAATGTAGAATGTAGACTAGTACGTATTTATAATTCTATCGCTATCGTAACGTACCGTGTAAAACGAAATGATCTAAGTTATTCTGAGATTGCGTGATGTAACGTTACGTTCATCGTTAACGAGTACTATTTGTAGATAAAAATGAATAAACCTATAAATTATTTAATGCAAGCTCTTTAATTCCGGCTTTTAATTATCTTCCGTACACCGACGTTCCAATTTTGCTTTATCTTCTTCCCTGACTTTAATTATGGAAGTACTTTAATATGGCATCCTCGTTAATAAGGTACGAGAGAACCGCGTTGTCAATAATTTAATAATATATGCTTCGTCACGATAATATTAATTATTACGATGGACTGCCGCACGTACTGATCAATTAAATTTCATATTCTCTGAAAATTAAAGGAAATTACATTGGAGGGTTTCCCAAATTCCCGAAAATATTTCGCTTCCAGATATTGTGTGCGCATATCGAGCGCGCGAGCGCGTAACATTCATATTTCCAGCAAAAACGAGAAACAAAAATAGTTTTTTCGTTAAAAAATATCGCGGATCTTTTGTTTGAATTTCGCGTATCCGTTGTGCGTAACGCACGTCTGTGTGAACGCACAAATTTATGTACATGTAAAAAATTTACGGATACGTAGTACACGGTAACGTGAAATCGCACGGAAGAAACGCGCGCGGTGCGTACTACCGGTGCCGAAATAAAATTTCTCTCGATGTCTTCATTTCTTTTTACGGCTCGCGTAATCATAGCTGTAAAGTCCAACGGCGCCATGATAAGTCAAATGTGGCCGGAATAATCGTTTGACGTTCGTCGCTTCGTTCGCCGCTTCCTCTCTCTCTCTCGTCGCAACGGAATATTTCCGTCGTTTTCGCGAAGCCGTGACTGTCGCGCGATGGCGTTTTGGCATTTTGACGCTGCGCGACGGTCAGCGCGAGCCACGTTATCGCTCACAAGTAAACCTCGGAGAACGTCAAACGCCGATTTGTTTCCAATTTTTTATAGTTATTTTTTATGTCAAAATATGAAGAAATCTGTTATCATTTTTAGCTTAAATTAATTTTTTCAATTTTTTCGAAATTTCTGAAGTTTTGCACAAGTACACTATTTTATACATATTTAAAACAGTATTTCTTAAAAAAATATATATATATATATCTGATCTGTTGAAACTTGCACACACATGTCGCCGATTATGAATCAGAACCATTTTGTAAAATTCAAAATGGCGGATCTAATATAGCTGGCGCCATTGTTGAAAAAGTATTCAGTTTTAGGCTACATTCGACGTTGGATAATTTTTCGACTCACTATCCAGCAAACAAGCTCATTTTAACGTCAAAATCTGATAAAAATGAACAAGAAATGAACAAAAAAATAATGAATAAAAAACTCGAGGAATTTCGAAAAAATTGAAGAAATTAATTTAAGCTAAAAATGATAACAGATTTTTTTATATTTCGACATTAAAAATAACTATAAAAAATTGGAAACAAATATTACTATTAGGTCAATCGGAAAGTTCCGTCCATTTTTGTGCAAAATGTACGGCTTTATTTAAGAAGCAAAATAAAAAAGTATATCAATCAAAATATTGTCCATCATCGTTAGCGATGACTCTTTTCCATCTTGAGGTCAGCAAGCGAATTCCGCGGCGAAAGAATGACTCATCTTTGGAGGCTATCCAGTCAGAGACCCATTTTTTCGACGTCTTCACAAGAATTGAAGCATTCGTCAGCAAGTGCGTGTGCCATCGACCGTGAAACACCGTGGTAGTCGGAAGGGGCACAGTCTGGTGAATAAGCCGCATGGGGTAACACTTCCCAGCGAAGTGCTTTTAACGTTTTCCTTGACAGATTTTGTGAGGCCGAGCGTCGTCATGAAGCAAAATCACTTTATGCTGTCTCGTTTCGTATTCTAGTGATTTTTCGTGCAATGCTCGGCTCAAACGGATCATTTGTTCTCTGTAGAGATCACCTGTGACTGTTTGACCACTTTTCAACAGTTCATGATACAGCACACCCTTCTGATCCCACCAAATACACAGAGCATTGCCTTCTTTCCGTGGATATTCCGCTTTGACGTCGATGTTGAGGGTTGGCCGGGATCGCAAATAGTTTTTCGATCGAGTTTAAGGTTATCGAAGTAAATCCATTTTTCATCCCCAATGGTGATACAATGTAAAAAACCCTTTTCTTTGTTGCCTAGCAAGCAGAATTTCGCAGGTGGTCTTTCGCCTTTCAATGTCTCTTGGCTTCAGTTCATATAGGACCCATTTTCCTTTCTTGTAAACCTTTCCTAAGGCTTTCAAACGATCGGAAATGACAGATTGAGCACAATTTAATGCTTCTGCAAGTTGCTTGTGCGTTTGACACGGGTCTTCGTGCATCAATGCTTGCAATTCTTCGTCTTCGAATACTCTCGGCCGTCCAGAACGCTCTTTGTCGTCTATATCAAAATCTCCACTTTTAAAGCGTCGAAACCATTCTCTGCATGTTTTATCGGAAAGAGCATTATCAGCATAAACTTCTACAAGCATTCGATGAGCTTCAGCTGCAGTTTAATTCCAATTGAAGCAAAAGATTAACATTTCGCGCGAATGACGCTTATATAACTCAAATTTCGACATTTACGATGCAGTAAAACACAATGTTATTGATGCAAACGTATATCTTTATGTAGTGAATATTATTGGCAGATGTCAAAACGAACCATTAAGCTTCGTTTAGACATTAGAGGTTAACGACAGTACTAGCTATAGCTGCTTGCCGCTAGATGGACGGAACTTTCCGATTTACCTAATAAAAAACGATGCGAGATATCATTAGATGGAAGAGGACTTTTCCGTTCCTCTCGCTTAGCTCTACGCCCGCCTCCCTATGAAGTTAGTGTGTTACAATTA